TCCGACTGAGCAACAGTCTTGTGGTGAGGTGGTAGACTGACAGAAATGCCACTTACTTATGAGTGCCATGTGGGGATATATAATTGTAGGAATGACATTTCAATTTAACGCTATGTGCTCTTAATGTAAAGGCGTTGTTATAATGGGTGTGGCATTTAATAATTGGACTTAATTACAATTAATTTACTTCTCTAGAGCAACTGCCTGAAGGGCCTAAAACACCAGCCACATGTGAAGCTCACACACACACACTTAACCAGACAACAGTCTGAACAGCCCCAAGCAATGACACACACATCCCATCAACACCACGGTACAGAAGTGGGAGAAATAAAGGTAGGATTACAATCATTGTGCTCCCCAGCTCTCATATATCATCTTCTTCCTCTTGTGACTCTAAGCGTGCATACTTGTGCGTGTGCATCTGTGAAAAAGGCACAGGGCAGTGTGTGTGTGTGTGTGTGTGTGTGTGTGTGTGTGTGTGTGTGTGTGTGTGCGTGCGTGTGATTTTTTGTATATTATCTAACCTCCATATACAGATGCTTCCTATTAATCACAAAGCGCAAAGACAGACTGCCTCATTTTTATCATCACTTCCAATAACCTGCGAGCTGTGAACAAATTAAGCACGGGTCCCACGTCATTGTGTAGCAGTAGGTGGAGCAGTGACACACAACACAACACCGATATAACATGCTGTACTCCAATCCTAAGGGCGGTAATTAAAGCTGATTTTTGCTTTGTTTTGTTTTTGGATCTTAAAAACAACATTCATATTCTATGTCTGATGACGTAGGCTAAACATCAAAAAAGTTCTCTGACAGTGGCTGGGTGAGTTGTGCATTAGATGATCCATGGATTGGACATATTTACACATTGAAATGTTTGATTACAATGCATTTGCATTTTTAAATGAAAGCTAGAAAGCTCTTGTCTCATTCCACAAGTAAAGCCAGGTGAAAATGCCATGCAGGAAAGATGTGGGATGCTTTTTTTGAAACTTGCTTATTATAAGAAGAATATCTTAAGACAATGACTCAAAAATCTTATTTCTATGAATATTATTTATTTATGTATTTGCTTATTTAATTATTAATCTATTGGAAATATGCCTCCAGTGGTTTACTCTAAGCAATTATTTATAATCTACTGTGAAGGAGAGAAGTGAGGAGGTCTAATTTAAATCCATCGGAGCACATCCATACTGGTGCAATTTTCACTGCCTTCACAATAATTATGATTTATCAAAATGCATTTGCTGATGTTAATTATTTAGCATCGCACGTTTTAAAACACAGCCAGTGTGAAAATAATATAGATTGCATGGAGTTAATTCGTTTAGTCACGGAATGGCTGCAGCATCATGCAGGAGGGATGAAGTTCATGCTGGAGGTGTGAAAATCAGCAGAGTGGAGCAGGTCACAGTGTTGACATGTGTCCACCTGACGTGCCTGTTGGACCTGTGCTGGTGGTGCTGGTGGTGCTGGTGGTGTCTGGCCCGGGCCCGGTGAAGTGGATGTATGAAGACAGAAGGTGCGCGTCAGTGAGATCTACACCCCCTGGATCTCCGGTGGCCCTGCTGGCATCATTAGGCTACCTTAGAGCTGATGGAGATGGAGTGGACGAGCCAGGACTGAAGCAAAACAACTCAAGGCTGCAAACGGTTGCTGAACCGAAACGAATAGCTACGACACTCACACACATGAAGCAGGCGAGCTGCAGCTCTGCACTGGGAATATCATCATTCAGACTGCGCGTCAAACAGGTTCGTGCCCAAATCTGCATCCCTATACTTCAAAGGAGGTGTACTGATTTTGATAAAATCACACACGTATGCTCACAAACACACACGCACACACACACACCCACACACACACACACACACACACACACACACACACACACACACACACACACACACACACACACACACACTCTACCTCTCTGTCTGCCTCTCTATCTGTCACACACATGAACACACTCGTCCCATAACACCGCACAGCACATCTGAACAGCTGATAATAAACATTTCCTGTGAACTCACGTTATCTCAGCCACCCGAGCCTCGTTTAGCCGAGCAGCACTGTAGCCGATCTCACCCACTGAGCCCAGTAAAGGCCGGAACCGAACGTGCCCGCTTACCTTCCCGACGTAAAGCCATTCCTTTAGTCCGATTCCATGCTCTAAGAAGACCGCAAAATGCCGAACACTGTGCAATCCCGACTGTGGAAATGTTGCCTTGAGACGCGGTGCTCCTGTTAAAAACGTGGATGAGACACCTCTTCTGTGCCTGAGCTGTTCTGGTTTCGAGGCGGCGGTGCTGATGCTGATGATGCTCGCTCTCAAATGCCGATAGAGGAGGAGGGGGGAAACGTTTTTGCGCGGGGAGGAGAAGGATCTCCTTGCTGCTCCGCCGTGCTGTGTGACTGGGAGCCCGGCGCGGTGCGTTTAGCCGCAGTTGAACTCGAGGAGGCTGACGGGTGATGCTGTTGCTGGTGAGGCTCGGTGCCGCTATAATAACAGCATCCCCTGGATCATACCACCGCACTGAGGAGAAGGGGGTGTGGCACAGAGCGGCCACAGACACAAACACACACAGGCACGGGCTCTCTCTCGTCAGGAGGTCGTCTGGATCGTTGGCTAGGCTCATTCAGGTGAAGCCATATGGCTGCACTGTTGTCCTGTGCTGGAATGCTGACTCATTAAAAATTGGCGCAATAGCGAAAATGTTGGTATTTTCCTATTTTCTGCAAGGACTGCTGCTTTTGTAACCTTTCAGAAGCATATTTCTAAATGTAAAAAAAAAGTCATTCCACAACCTGAAAGTTCATGAAGTGGAAATATATCAAGTTTTTGCATATAATTCAACATGTATTAAAGCAGTGTCAGATCATTTAAGGGAAGACAAAAAACAGGTTATTATGGGCTATAGTAAGATGGAATTTAATGCAAATGTATTGCTCCAGTGGGCCTAGTTCTAAATAACACCTGCAGATCATCTCATAATATCTAGTTTTTCTTTGTTAAATGAGCCACCTAATGATTGTGACCTGTGCTTTCTATGTGCAGCAATGGTTGGGGTATTTACAGGCAGGAGTCATTGGCTGCTACAAACAACGTGTGAATGACAGGGGTTCTAATGATGCAGTTTATTATTTCCCCAATGCACAGTACGTGCGGGGCTACAAACAACCATTTTGACAGCTGCTTCAGTCTATCTGCCTTTCTGCCGGTCTCACCATATCCCCAACACAGCACAGCACTGTGCAGCTTTTTTATTATTTCTTTTATCAACAATAGGTTTTGACACTTTCCATTAGTTTCATCACCAGTTCTCTTCAAGTGGAGGCTATGAGTCCAGCTGTTTGGGACAGAGAGATTATCAGGGTTTGTCATGTGGATGGTTGGTTGACAGGAGGTAGCTACGAGACTGTTCCATGTGACAGTGACTCGGCCAGATTGTAAGCGGATTTCGATCAGAAGTCCAAAGACCTCCACGGTGCCAGAGAGTGAGCGCCCATGTTGAAAAGCTGCATGTTTCTGAACCTCCATGTTTGCCTGCAGAGTGCTAATAGCAGGCACATAACACCTTCAGCGGCTGGGTAAACGCTCTTTTAAAAGAGCAGTTTCTCTTCTGCCCGACACATCTCACTGAGACATCTCCTTGACAACCGGTTCAATGCAGGGATTTGAAATGTCACAGTTTTTACTGTGATTCTTTTTTATCACCATGGTCTATAGAGGAGAGATAATAGATGTGCAGACAGGAGGAGGATTCGCCTTGCTGGAGGAGAAACATAGCCTTTGCTTCCTATTCTAGCAAATATGGCAAATAGAAAGTTAAAGTAATGTTTTACATCACATAGATACGGTTTAGAGAAAGTTTTCATCATATTCTTATGTAATACATCTCACATACGGCTCTCATGGAAGGGAAAGCTAGCAGAGCAGACCCAGCCAACATTTTATCCGATAATTAGCATCATTAGAGCTACAGATGCTGTACTGTGCTGCTTAGAGTGCATTTCAGACATAATGTCAGCTGCATTAAAACTGATGTCATCTGCTTGTGATTTAAACTGCATTAGAATGATATAACCTAATTAAATACTACCTCATCTGGTGAAAAAAAAAAGTCAGTTGAAACAAATAGGAAAGCATGAGACCATGTTTGCTGATCCAATTATTCCTGCCCTATTTGGACGACATGGAAGCCCAGCTGAGCGTACAGGGAGGGATAAGGAACAGAGGTGGATTTAGAGTTGGTACTCCATAAAAGCGGTGTGAGAGTGAAGAGAAAGCTACTGTTGCTGTTGTGAATGCTAAAGCAGACACTGGTGAGAATAACTTTGATGGGAAGCTGTCCTGATATCCCTTTTTCTCCCCCTGATTAGAAGCAACTCACGCCTTCTCCATGTGACACATCTGTTACAACCTGAACTGCAGGGATATATTACACTTTAAATAGCGTCAGGAGACAAGAGATGGATTCAGTAATGCATCCACGACTTAATGCTACTCGGAGCCTCGGCAGTAATATCGGATTTTAAGTATCCCTGCACTACTTCACTTCACAGCTGGAGGCAGTTTCCATGAGCATTATTTAGTCTGCTACATGCAAACTGCAAAGCCAACACAGTTTTTCTCCTCGGAACTCTGTGTTCCTCGTAGGCAGTGATCGATTGGATAGTGATCAATCCTTCAACCAGAGAACACAAGGTGAATGTTGCACACTGTAACTAGAAACCAACAATTATCCTCTCATTTCTTTTTCTCCAGTTCTTGCTGGTTTTCTTTCTTTCTTTCTTTTTATTTCCCTTGCCTCCTTCAGCCTGTGTTTTCTTGTTTCCTATCTTTTCCAATTTAACTTTTTTTTTTTTTTACTTTTCCTTCATCTCTGTCCCCCTCTCCTTCTCCATCCCTCCTGCCTAGCTCCATCCCTCTCCAAGGTGACGATGCTGAAGGGGTTTCTCTTATTCTGTAATGAGGGCTCTCAGATCAATGCTGTCAACAATACTCGCCAGCTGCACCAGCGATACAGTATAAGTCTGCCCTATCAGTATAGATGCCTTATCTCCAGGGCTGTTAAGAGTTAACAAGGGTATTCTTTCTCCAGTGAGGTGTTAGCAGGATGCTCCATGACCATCTCCCACTATTCTCCACCATCCCTCAGCTCCACTCAGCCACATCTCTCACAGGAGACAGAGCCATCCATTTATTGAAATCTTTTTTTAAATGACAAAGTGATGACCTTTCCGATGCATGTGCTCCGACGCCATAAATTTTCAACGATTCCATTTTACATTTCCTCCAAGCAGTCGCAACCAAATTACACCTCTGCAGCCTCCGACCTACAGGCAACAAGCCATGATTTTCATCTTCAATTATAACTTTTTTTTTTTCTCTCTCTTTTTTACTTCCAATGGTGCTTTAGCACTTTTGGAGGGAGATAAGTGTTTTGGAAATCAAAAAGGGTGGTATAATCTGTCCTGAAAAGCACACAAACTCTGACAGCACTTTTCAAAGGCTGTCCTTTTCTAAGCCTGTCATCAATTTCCCCTCGGAAAAAGGAAAGGGAAGAAAAGGAGCGAGCACGGAGAGGTATCTATTGATTAATCACTAACAGTAAGAGCCCTGATGTGCGAGTGACGTGAACCAGTTTCAGTGTGTTGACAGATGAAACAGCTTTATAGCATCACCTTTGTGACACATTCTCCTTCAAGCCTTTTTCTCTTAATTAGTCATATCCTCAAAAGGGCATGACATTAATAAATTCTACATTAAATCCACATGTATAAACTGAGGAGGGTTTTGAGAGAAAGCAATATTTTTAACCAGCAGTGCGGTGACATTCAATAGCTAGTGAAGAGCAGCTGGAGATTGCACTACAGAGGACACGGAGCGATACAGGGGAGGACATCACTGCACCCAGCACGTGATGCAGGAATTATTGATTTATAAGGCATATCTTTATCCTTACAGTATGCATGAAAGTGAAGAGAACATCAAGAGCACCCCTCTATCACCTTGAACAATGGATTCCAGTCTTTGTTCTGGGCTTAAACAAAGCGACAGCACACACTCATACACACACCCTTTGGTCCCAAAACCAGGGCTTAAAAAAACGCTCTCTGCTTTGGACCCCTAAAAATCTGAGGATTGCTCCCATAAGGATCAAAGTATAGGTGTATGTTTCAGGGGGCTTTTTGTATTTAAGTGTGTGTGGTGTTGAGTGCTTTCCTCAGTCTGTGCAAAAAGCCCCTCAGATAGCGTATGCCACCCTAAAGCATGGGCACTTCTCCTCTCCTCCTTTTATCAGCGCACACTTCTTGCTCTTGCTACCCTGCTTACCTGTGACAGGAGCGCCTTTCAAACGCACCTCATTGCATTTCAAACGCCAGCGACTCCCACTCCCGATTCCAAGACTCCCACACACACACGTACACGCACGCAGCTGTCAGCTGCCCAAATATTGTATATCCCCTGGCCTTCTCTCCCACCCTTTCCTGAACTAACTCCTCCACAACCTCGAGTTGTTGAGAAAATAATATTTTATGCATGCCACAGCAGCCCACACAAAGATACAGCTTATGAAAGACATACCGAACCTACTTTCCTGCCAACGTTTGTGTGAGTGTCGTGCCTGTCTCTCTCCGTCTCACGTTAATTTCTGTGCAGCTTGTTTTTCCATGCTAAATTAAGATGTACTTAAATAATGTTTAAATGCATGAATACTCTGCAGATAAGTTGTTTCACAGTTTCTTAGTGATCAATATACATTATGTAAATACTCTCTCCATAAAACTTCAGGGTGCAAAAGGCCAGAAGAGTCGAGTTTTGTCAGCCAGCTCCCAAGAGAATAAATCACAGCAAAAGAATCGGATGGAGCCTGCCTACATACCTCAGCATTTGTCAGAGCAGGAGAGGACACAGTACAATGAATTTGCATCTGTTTGAAGTGTTATTATTAATTCATGCCAATGAGACTTTGCATAAAAGAAGCTGGAAAAAAAAAATTGAAAGGGGGAAAAAAAAAAAAGTCCCCAGTATGAGCACGGGAACTGTTTGACCTTGTTTTGTCGTCTTGTTCTCCCTCTGCTTGTGGAAGCCATATTGTTGTCCAAGCATCCTTACATTAAGGTGCTCTCACACTGACTGGGCCTTCTGGGAACAACAGGCTCCTGGAAGTGTGGGCCTATCTTATTTAATCAGCATGTGTTGAGCTAAATGACGAGCTATTATCACTGGACGCCCGCCGACTGCTGCTCGGCTCCTCAAACAGCCAAAGCAAAAGGTCAAACACTGATAATGAGTAGACAGAAAGAGCTATTCCTAATTAGACATGAATGCAAAAATTTGAATGAGAAATTAAGGTGGCATGTAGGAGGAAGAGATACAACTCATCCATCTGGCAATCTATTCCAGCTGTACTCAATGTACACTCTTTGTCTTTGTTTTTTGTGTCTCAACAGGTGCCTGTGAGCGTGTGTGTGTCCACAT